TTTTTTTATTTGTTCTTATTTTATTACTGACTTTTTACTTGTGTTTTTTTATGAAAATAAAACTTTGCGTTGAAGAAAAGTAGATGTTTGTTTGTATATGCTGTCAATTATAGTTCTTAGAAAGAAAATCTGAATCGGCAAAAATCGGTATCGGCAGATCACACTAACAAAAAAATCGGAAATCGGAATCGGCCAAGAAAATCGGTGCATCTCTAATGAAAAGTCACACCTCACTGCTTTTCCTTTAGCAGACACCGTGCCTGGGATGGTCCTGCCCTTTGAGATAGACTTCCTGTCGGATCATAAGGTCATCAGGACAGGAGATGAGATCCCTGTGGTCATCACCGCTCCAGAGGAGAGACTGGGAGCTGCCGTCACCGCCATGAACAGCATCTACCGCAATAGCAAAGCCAATGTAGTATTCAATATAGTGACACTAAACGAGTCGGTGGTCCATCTTAGGTACACCTTGTATTGCATTACAGCGGTTTATTAAACAATATTATGTTGCATTACATGTAATATATGATTATTTCTCATTCCAGAACATGGTTGAGTAAGACTGACATGAAACACAAAATTATCATCTTTGATCCGAAGATCCTCACAGGAAAGATTTCGAATGATCCTCAGAAGGTGGAGGCAGTGAAGCCGGTAATCAATTGCAAGCGCTTGTATTTCTAAGTAGTGTTTGGAGTTGTGAAAATGGAAAATGTGTATCATAACTATGTGTGTATCTTATTTTTCCAGTTGAACTTTGCCAGATTCTTCTTGCCAGTTTTCTTGCCGGATACAGAGAAAGTTATTTACCTGGATGATGACGTAATTGTACAAGGTGAAGTGCATGGTTTTATAGTTTGTATTTTTTACGAACCCCAAAATTCTCAATCAATTGGGGCATAACCAATTTTCTGTCCAATTAAATAGTCTCTAAAATAACAAAACCATGTTTCCTTGCCTTAATATTTTTAATGTGTTTTTTGACACATTTGTGGAGTCATAAATTAGTAATTATTTAATTAGGCAGTGGTTCAACCCTTTTGTCCTCTAGACCCACATATTCACAACAATATTCAAAGGCCCTATCACTGCAACATTTAGAGGAATTAGGATTGCTCATAGATTAAGAGATTTCAAATAATATATAATTTAATTAAAGATTTCCAGAAGTTTGGGGCTGGATTATAATAATAAATATCTAGATTCTAAGAAAAATACAAGTAAGAAATATCTGAAATAAGAAAGAAATATCTAGATTTGTAGTACTTTTATTTTATTTGAAAGCGTTTTTGTTCCGTTTCAAAACATTTTAAGTTAATTTGAGCCTCCCTTGGAATTTTGCTAAGATTTAAAAATACAGCTATATTATATTAAACAGAATAGTTATTTGTGGTGTATTTTAAACAGTACATTATTATGAATAGTACATTTATCAAATGGCCTTATTACATTAATTCAGCAAGTGATGTCCAGTTATATTGGTAAATAAAATAGTTATTTGGTATATAAAAAGAAAATATAAAATTACTGCTGTAATTGCCAGTTAATTTGTCACACTAGAAATAAAATGTAAAGTTCATTGTATTGTATTACATGTAGTAGACCATCTGCATAATTAACGCATATAGAAAATCTGCTTACTGTGGAAGTATGCATACTGTATGCTGCAAAAATAGTAATAGCGTGATACTGTGCAGTAAAAACAGTAAGTTACAGTAGCGCTGATTGCAATCTTTTCTCTGGTTCAGGGGACATTCGGGAGCTTTTCGACACCAGTGTTAAGTTGGGACATGCGGCAGCTTTCTCAGAGGACTGTGACTCTGCGTCCTCTAAAGGCATCGTCAGAGGAGCTGGAAATCAGGTATGATTGTACTGTACTGATTTCATCCGACTGTATTCCAGAATTCACACTGTGCATAGAACTTCAAAATATTAGGGCTGACGAAGATCAATGGAGAAAAGTGAAAATACAGAATAGGATGTTTTTTTAGGACTCCTTTATTATTCAAATACAGCCATATGTATAAACCCATTTTAACCAATTTATTTTCTATATTGTTGCGATTATATACCGTCACTGCGGTATGAAATTATTCATAAGAATTTGGTCGTACCGCTCGTAGCCCCATTTCAAAGAAAGTTTTCAGAACATGTAATACATACCTATTTGATATATTTACATGGTTTTGCATATTTCTTTTACATGCTGCAGAACAGCTATATTGGTTTTCTGGACTTCAAAAAAGAAGCGATCAAGAAGCTTGGAATGAGAGCGAACACTTGCTCATTTAATCCTGGAGTCTTTGTGGCCAATTTAACCGAGTGGAAGCAGCAGAATATCACCAGCCAGCTTGAGTTCTGGATGGAGCGCAATGCCAAGTTAGTTTGTGTTCTGCTGTATTATGTTACTGGAAACTACAACAATCATTACAAAAATGTTAAAGATAGCTACCGTCAAATCTGTTGCCAGTTCTAACCCTCTTTAATCAAATTTTAGGTGCCTTTGAGGGCTGTTAATGGTTTTGTGGGGTTGTTTTGTTTTAGGGAGGACCTTTACAGTAAGACTTTAGCAGACAGCATCACAACGCCGCCTATGCTTATTGTATTCTACAAGCACCACTCGGACATTGATCCAATGTGGCACGTCCGACACCTCGGTAAGGAAATGCTGTGGTTCATAAATGTAAAACGCCTTCGTAAATCTCTTAGCAACCAACATTTTTTTTATTCGTTTACATTTCTAGGGGTGACAGGAGCTGGGAATCGGTATTCACCTCAGTTTGTGAAGGCTGCCAAACTTCTCCATTGGAACGGACATTATAAGCCATGGGGAAGAGCCTCCTCTTTTTCTGACATTTGGGACAAATGGTACATTCCAGATCCCACAGGTAAATTCCACCCAATCCGGAGACCCGCTGAGGAAAAATAAACCCTGGTTTGGGCTACATGAAAAAAGAAGGGGGAGGGGGGGTGGACTCTGAGGCAGATATTTGACTTTGTTTGGGGATGTTTAAAGGATGTCTGGATGCAAAATATGGGGCCTTCATGAAATCTAAGAGTACCCAAGTAACTGGGACCAACATTGGAACAGAACAACAGCCAATTTGCAACATTCGACACCAATGCACTACCTCAGCATTCACTGTCTAAATCTAAAGTAATAACACTAAACCATTTATGGTACAACTTTAAAATCTTCATTTTGTATGTTGCATCCATACAAGTGTCTAGATTTTTTTTAACAAGCGGTATGATCCCAAATACTGTTGGGTGAAATTATGGACCCACTCTTTTTGTTCTTCTTATTTTTGAAATGTACATTTAATTATAAAGTATTTTAGACTGCTTTAGGGCTTGAGACAAAAACCTGTGACAATTAAAATTTCAGAATTTCTGTTTTTGACACTACAGGAACCACTTTCCCCTTGTGTTGTGTTCGCTGTTGTTACATTTCTATGGATGCATGTTTTTTTTTTCTCCACATATCAGCTGTTACTCAGCATTGTCCTCAACCCGAAGGGTAAAATATGCCAATTTGTACATAAAGGAAAAAAGTCTTCCAACAAAGTACTGAATAAAGCTCAGTATAAGTTTTGTATGCAATGTAAGCGTATTCAACTTTTATTTCGTCAACTAAATAATACATATTTTATGATGTATTAATACATACAGACATAGAGATCACACAGTATGCACTCCAACTGAGTGCGGTTTCACAATTCGATTCCTCTCAGTCCATATCAATCTGTACATACTGGTGAAATTTTACACAAAATCGGTGTTGAAGTCATATGCGTCGTCATTGTTATGCTGCACTGAAGTCAGGTCAATGTTGACAGGGACATAATTCACTTTTTTAGTTGGTTTGGCTACAGAAGACAAAAGGCAAAACAATTGAGATTGTCAGAAGACAGTTACATAAAAATAAAAATAAATCAGAGGAAGTTCATAGGTGTAGATCACAAAACAAACCTTTTTTCTTTTTTGTTGATTCTTGAATCTGTGTCACCACTGTGGAAACTTGAGTTTCAGCCTCAGGCTGAAAAACAAAGTGTGCCAATCAATATTCAACATCAGCCATTTACTGAAATAATGTGCTGGGAACAAAACAAGCTCTATAGACAGCAAAACACTGTAGACTTGTCACTCAGTTTGTAAAAAAAAAAAAAAGCTATTACCTTTACAGTTGGCATTAAATGAAAATTCACCCTATTTTGTAAATCCAATTTTTTAAATGATTGACCTCGTAAAGTTTAATCAAAATACCATAACTTGTTTTTCTGGTAAAAAACAACAGACTTCTCCAATCATTTAGTCCACTTAAACCTTGTCCCTCCACGATCGACTGCAAGCTGGCTTTCATTTTTGAGTGGAATGCCCACATCTCATAATCCAATCAACAACCAATGGACAGAAATAGTACCCATCCTATATTTCTTCTTTTTTGAAAATCTGTTTACTTTGATGTAGGTCACTCACAATACAAGGGAAAATATGTCACTTCTTCTGTACTTTAACGTAACACAATTACAATGAAAGACTTTGTGACAAGACATTCCAAATGGTTTGAAATGCAGAAACAATTTTTGTATCAGCATAATCATTTTATACACAAGTTCTGAATGAGGTTTACACATATATGCAAAATACAAGTCAAAGTTAAAAGGCTTACATAGACATTAGGGGCCAGTTTTTATAACAGCTTGCGCCAGCGCAACCATCTTTTCGTGTTAAAATAGTACTGTCAGGATTTACTAGAAGACACACCGTGAAGAATTAGCGCTGAAAAGGCGTGGTTATTTTTACCACTCATCTTATTGAATATGCATTTGTAGGAGTTTCCCTTTCAGACCCAAAATTTATGGGAGGAAGTGTATTAAAATGAATCACGCAACGAGATTTACCAACATTTGCACTCGTCAAATTACTGGTATTTGTGCTATAATTTAATGGCCAAAAAAAATCACGTCTTAAACTATTTTGCGCTTGCAATGGCTGCAATTATTGTTGCTAGGAGGAGACACCGCAGAGAAAAGAGGGCGTTAAGGGAGAGGATTTTCTTCCACATGTATTAATTTATTTTGAATGCCAGAAGAACATATTATTCGAACATTTCTTTTGCCAAGCCATGTTATTTTTAATTTGCTTCAGGAAATGAAAGACGACTTGGAACCCTCAACTAGGAGTCAAGCAATACCAGCTCTATCAAAACTGTTGCAACCCTTCATTTTTTGGCCTCCGGTTCTTTTCAGCATACTGTGGCTTCTTTATTTCTTTATTCGCGACTACGCTAATTTGCGCTTGGTACATTGTGTTGATCGATATGTAAAAATGTGTTGTGTCCGTGTTCTTTAATTTGTGCGTTGTTAGTAAATCACCCACAGAAATTTTCACGCTAATCTGTGCTGTTTTGGAATTGCACTCTCGCGCTAATTTGCCCCGTTTAGTAAAACTGGCCCCAATGCTGTCAAAATGGCTGAAAAACTCAATTCGAATTTTGCATTTAAATATTATTAACATTCAAATAATATTCAAATTTAAAAGGCATAATTTCAGTTAAGGGAAAAAAACCTTTTGTCTTCTCTCATGAGGGCACAAGAGGGAGTATCGAGCAAAATATTACTAATGCACGCTTATTAAAGCAATAAAACAGCATTATTATCTGTGACAAAAGTGCATAATGTTTATAAGTCAGCATAAACAGCATCATGTATGCATAGTGTAATACAAAGAGACAAAAGCCAATCACACAGAGTACTTTTTTATTTAAAAACATGAGATGCAGTGGGATGGAAAAAAAACCCCACCATAAAGTCTCAAGACATGTTTTTAAAAGTTGAATTTGAATTTTACATGGCTTCATAACATGCAGGCTTCATCTTGTGCAAGATGCGAGTGCAACAGTGATAGATGTCCCTCTACAAAAATATGTGTTCTGTGTGAATGGCTTGGTTTCAGTTTTGACGTAAACGAGATCTTCTCTGCATTGATGTTCTATTTTTCCGCATGATTTTAAATGAACATCACAGCAGCGCCGCATCTAGTGGCTTCAACTGGATAGGCTAACAAAAACATTAAAAAGCAACAACACTTACATCGTCATCGCATTTTGTGCGCCACTGATAAGGCAGCATTATGCACACCTAAAATTTAAATGTTTGGATTTTTTATTTTAAACTCGAACGGATATTCGAAATTCAAATTTTTATTTGACAGCCCTAGTGGACATGGAAAGAGTTGAACATATTGGATATAATTTAGCACATCAAACTAATCTCATGTCAGCATATTAAATGCCTTGTGGCTACACTTTTAAAACTGCGTGTTGAACATTTATCCAAATTGAATGCTATGGAGTATTGTAAACGCATTACTCTAAACATGAGTTTTACGTACTGCAACAAGCCAAAGTCATTTTCTGTAGTAATTAACAGCATGACCGATCTTAAGTCGCACTGAACTTTCAATGTGCATTCTGAGAAACAATGAAGTTGGTCTCAGATACGGTTTGTGAATATCAAATCTACTAGAGTTTCTGTCAGAGTGAGATCAGAGTTGGATTAGAAGGTCATCAAGGACTTATGTGAACAACAAACTCATCATTTCTCATTGTCTCTGATGACAGAAGTGTAAAGCATCATTACTGAATGATTCGTAGCCTCTCATAGGAAGTACCTCCTCTGTGTTGACGGTCCCATCCATCTTCTCGTCTGCTTCTGTTGGTGCTGTGATTGTTATGGTTTCTTTAGGTAGCTCACTGACATTCAGCACACCAGCGGTTGGGCCCCTTGCGTTAAAACTTATACTGCTCGCTAGGTTGGGGAATCGCACACCTGAGGACAGGTACACTGTTCAATTTCCACAACTTAAAATATCAAAACTGATCTGATTCGTTCAATAAACTGTAACCATTAGAAGATCAAATCATTCCAATCTGAGACGTACCTTTCTTAACATTTTCGTTGCCCTTCCTCACTACATCCATATCCAAACCTGACCTCAGTTCAGTCACGATGGCATCAGTGAGGTATGAGGGGAGGCCCTGGTGCTCCGGAGCTCTGCTGTGGTAACTCAGTTTTGGCCTAAAACAACATCACACAAAGCTTAGGAAGACGTTTACCAGTAACAGTGTTATTTCAGCATCATATTCTGAAGGTATGATGAACATCATCTGAAACTGACCCAGTCCAGTCGCTGAGGAATGTCATGGCTGCCAGCTCTGTGTTTGGAACGCCTCCTTTCTGCAGGAAGCCTCGTTTCTTGGCAAAGGTGGTCAAGAACTCTAAGGAGTTTCTGTAGTCTGGGACATTATACTGTAACATTATCTGAAAGAGACACATGAGAGAAGATCATCTTATTTATATGAGGTTAAAGAGAAATTAACCCCCTTAAAAATACAGTAAGCTGAAATACAAAAAGTATTTTCACTGTTATGAAATCCCCCTTAGTTTTAGAAGCTGCCCGATCAATTACATCACAAACCAGAATACCTGATGTCTTATACTGTGGACATAAGCGATGTTGATGCTTTCAAAATGATTCAATTCCAGCCATTTCCTTTGTAACCAATTCAGGAGAATATGAAATAGAGTTGGGCGATATGGCAAAAAAAAAAATCTATATATATATCAGTCAATATCAATAATTATGATAATTTTCAAATTTTTATTTCTTTAAGTTTAAAGGCAGATTTCTTCTATGTGAAAGTTGTAGAAATCAGACCGTTAATTGTGGTTTTAAACTACGCTTTATGGTCAGAGCATGACAGACACTTTACAATTTTTGAATTGCTTACACTTTTCCACTAATTTTTCCTTAAAAATATCTTAATATAAAAATTAATTTCTTAAGTTTCTGGATTTTCTAAAGAGGTATATTGTTTCAAATCTTGAAACAGGTTTGTGTTCCCTGACTTTGACGACTCATATCTTCAGCACCGTTGGCATTGCAGGCTGCAATATTAATAATAACATAACATTTTTTTTTCATTTCTTAGAAATGCACATCTGACAGCAGCTTGAGTTAGGATGCAGATGTAAATTCATGTGCATTATCAAAAACAGTAACATCTGTACAAATTGTCGCAACCTCATGGTTAAATTTCATTAGTCTGACTGTTTAAGTTTTATTAAAATT